GTTTTATAGATAAGAGATGAACTGTTCTACACAGAGTTACAAAAGATTTACAAAGACCTGTATCTCTCTCTCTCTCTGCGTTACACAACGCTTTTGGGTTTTTCAGGGTTATTGCAGAAAGAATAAGAGTTGTGTATTTATACATCCATAAAGCTATCCCTCTATCGCGATCAGAGTCTTTGCTTCCTTATCTCTTCAGCCTTTAAAATGCAGCATTTCAACTAGAACCAAACCATAGTCACACTTGACATAACCAATCTTTCAATTTCGGTTTAGGCATTAAACTAACACCCATTCTGAAATTAGAATCACGCAGCTATTCCATCAACAGTATAAAATTTAGTTTGATTTTGCTGAACTACAAAAGGAAATAAAAACTAATTTTAGGTGATGGTAAATAAAACAAAAAAAAAGTAATGTTAGGTTGGAACCAATGCCAATATAGGGAGATGCAATTGACGTCAGCAACGAGATGCTTTGCAACCAAACTCTCTAAAATTTTCCTCCTCACGCATTTTCAGTGATCATTACGTAATATGCTTATTTGTCTTTTTTCCCTATTTTTGTTCTTTTAGTCCTTTCCCTATATATATTTCCAAAACAATTATGAGTAAACCCATTGAGAATTTTCTATATATTAATTGACAAATACAAAACCAAGTATGATCTTTAATGTTTAAATTGCAGTTCGAGATTTTCCGATGTTATTGTATCATAACAACTATAGTACTCAATCGGATTCTAATACTATCGTTTAGAGCCATTATTTTAGAAGCAGAATCATATTAGCTCGATAATTTGCGCCACATCAAATTTAAAGTAGCCGAATTAAAAACACTGATATTTGCCTTTACGGGAAAAGTTGAAGTTTGCCTCTCTTTTTTTTTTTTCGTAAAGCTGATTTGTTTTTTTGAACCGGTTAGAAAGAATAAAAATATATAATATATACCATGTGGGCCAATATTCTCACAAACACAAATTACACCAATGATATATGCTTCAAATTCGTATGCTACACATTTGTATCTTATTGTGTTCGTCCCCCGAACTTGTTCTTTTTGCTTTTAGTTGAATAAAAACTTTTCTTCTGCAAAATTCGATGAAAAAAAAATCGAATCTAGCACATTCGAAGTTAATGGCAAACAACACTTTAATTCGATCCATTATTCGATAATTATTAGTACTTTCACTTATACAGAAAATATCTGTGTGGTATTACGTCACTAATTAATTTATGGTTGATAATGTCTTTCTTGTTCATTTATACTTTTAAACTTTTTCGATTTTTAAAAAAGGTAATATAGAGTAAAAAGAATCAAGTTTGGTACATTTGTGAAAACCCTAGCAGTTCGTTTCTTCCAGGTTCGGAATTCGAGGTACCTGCCGTTGAGATCTAACATGAGGTTTCACCCACTGGTGACAATTCCCTTCCTCAACGGCACAACATCATCGTTCCCAAACTCGACCAAGATTCATCCGCCGACTACTATTGTCGCTGTTTAAAATCTTTCTGCCGTGATGCTCCCTCCGCTGAACACACTTGATCCACCGGAGGATCCGCCGGATTTACTCGGTCTACTTTCACCGCCTCCATCTGTTCCACATCCTCGGCGATCCTCATCGATTGCTCCGTCCACGAGAGCCTCAAAGGTTCTGGCTTCTATCTCGTGGCTGTTGGTTGGCTTCCCTCAGAGTGTCTAAGAATCAAAACTAAGATTGATGTTTCCAGATTTGGTTTGGCTTCCAAATCGTGGGTCGTATGATTTTGTTCTCGACTCTCGTTTCTCTGGTGGAACAAAATTGGTGTATGATGTAAACGAGGTAGACTTCTGCTTCTCATCCTCTGCTTCACCTTCTTTGGAAAGATTTAAGATGTTCTTCGAGTGGGAGGCGCTGAGCTTGTTAGATATAATCGAGCTTTCTTTATACCCGTGTGTATCGGGCTCATTTGTTGCTTCTTTCGCCTTAGTGCAACTCTTTTCTATAGTATGCAGTTTCTGTTTCACCGTCGATTTGGAAAAAGTACGTTGGGCCAAGTTTGCTTTATGCATGTTGCTATCTAGGAGTCTTTGGTACTCTATCTATGAGAAGAATATTGGATTAGTTAGGCTATGTTGTTGACTTGTGAATCGTTTGGTTATACTTCATCAAAAGATGCTCGTACTCTACTACTAGTAAAATATGGGTCAATTCTTCTTCTCCCTATCACGTCTTTGCGATACATTGCGATACATTACTACATTATGCATGTTGCCATCGGGTCTCTCTTTGACCTTAGTACTTCTCTCTCTTAAGATTGAAGGAAGAGTACTCTGCATTGTCTTTGCTCTATTAAACTTTGGTATATTGGAAAAATATTGCTCTGATTACTCTTTTATGGAGTTGTTTACACCCAATCTTTTACTCTTGTTTTTAGTGGTTGTATTATAGGAAGAAAGGTATTGGAGCTTGTTTTGCTATATGCAGAAGCTCTGTCCCTTACGATCGCAAAGAAGATTTATTTGCATCGCCTTCGACACTTGTAGTTTTGTACCTTCGGTGTTAGTAGCAGAGACGGTCGTACTCAAAGCTGCTCTTGTAGCCGCTTCAATTTCGGAGATCAGGCATGTCATTGTGTTTTCGGTTTCTCCTTCTGTTGTTAATCTTCTCAAGTGTGGAGGTGTTTTCAATGAGCGGAAAACATCTTATATTACATTCTTTGTTCATTAGACCCCTTTTCTCCTATCTTTATCTTTTATGTTCTTTGCACGACAAATGTTTTAGCCATTTTAGCTATGTCTTCTTTGTTAAATTGTAACTCTTTCACCATGGTTGGAGTTTAATTAATCTATAAAAATTTGGTTTGATAAAAAAAAAACAAAAAACTTATTCGACTTTAGTTAAGATTATGTTATATAAAACGGGGATAATACATTTTTCTACTGATCATTCAAAGGGATAAACATTTTACGGTTTTCAAATCTTTACGTTTTCGTATAAACAATTTGTAGACTTAGAGTTTTATTCAGTTTTTGAATCTTAGTAATAACACTATTTGAATGTTTTTGTTTGTTTCAATTTGTTTAAAACAAATTAAAGACAAGAAGCTGTCTTATTTCTTAAATGATTTCTGTAAAATATTTCGGTTAAGTTGAAACCACACATATTGCGGTTCTATTTATGGCTTAATAGAATGTATATATACATATAGAATATACCATCGATTCAATATTTTTTGTCAATCATTCATTTCATTAAACTAAGCTTCGATTATTAGATATATAATGTGGAAGTGTTTCACATACATAAGAAAATATAATCAATCTCAAATAGGCTGATCGGACCAAACAGTTGGCCTTTTTGTAAAGAGAGCGTGGGATTAATGATAATATGAAAAACATGAGAAACGAGAAACAAGATCACCAAATGTATCGATGGGGATGGAAAAGGCATGCTATAATTCTTGAAATGGAGTTAAATTAAACAGCTCAGAGCATACCGTCTCAAAAGCATGGCAACTCAGCACTTTCCCCAATATGGACTTCATCGCCATAACAATGCTTCCCCCTCTGAGTGTGATGGTGATAGACATCTTTGTCGTCTTCTCGCACCTAGTACCAGAATTGGGTTTTCTTCACTGCATATCCACCCCATCCCTAAGGTCGTTTTTGTCTCCTTCCAAGAACCATCAATCTTACATTGAAATTCATTTGAATATTGGATTGCGTTTTGGTTCACCTCTTCGGGAATGATGTACTAGGTTGGACTTCTTTCCACGCCAGAGATTCATTCTCAACTAGCTGAAAGATATATGACGGTTCCTCAGCTTCTTGGATTTAACGTGGACCCAATTTATCAACTAAAAATTAGAAAATTGATTTCATAAAATAAATAAATAAATTATATTATATTTATTTTATGTCAAAAAATCAGTAAGTGATCATGAAAGTATATCAATTACCCTCATGTGCATTAGCATAATGGTTGATGAATTATCACTATTCATTCATGCGCGGTGAACCAAAAATATATAAAAATGTAATTTAACTCAAGTC